ATCAGGATTTGCGCCGCAATTTTCCAACTGAATTCGCTGCATATCGTTCAGGAACGGTGCTCCAGCGAAAGAATTTTTCTCGAAGGATGCAATTTTTACGAACGTTGGTTATACACTGAAGGGTGAGGCGTGCTGGGGATCTCTGCACCAACAGTGTGCATCAAATGAACCAATCTACGATTGGCTCGGCAATGAATGGAGCAACAAATCGGGACGGTTGGTTAACCGTGGCTAGTTCATGAGAGTAGAATTGTCGATTGCGTAGTTGATGACATCGCTGTGTAGGAACGCATGACGGACGCATTTACTTTTGTGTGAATCCATGAACATTTAGATGAGCAATGAAACTGCGCCATCTTTGGAATGATTTTACGGCTAATTTCTCATCAGAAGTGCGCAGTTTAGCTGGTGAGAAATGGCTGGAATGTAGCAAATCTTAATTAATCTTATGCAATTCGGAAACTTGTCTAAGATGGTGTTGGTAGCTGATCACTGGAGGAAATGGCGAATTACGTTTGAAAAGCGTTATCATTGAGGAAGAGCAATTATCTCACAGCTATTGTCACTTCGATAATCAGTTTTCATCGAAAGCAGAGAGATTTTTTAGATCAATTGAACATCCTCAAGCNGTGGCATACCACTCATTTTCGAGGCATTCACATGGCAACATGGCGTCTTTCACGCATCAATTCTACGCACAGAAGCACTCGATGTAGCGCACGCTGAGACATGTACGTTCAGCATTTTGCACACATAAAATCAGCGTTTTTCATGAGATTTTCCAACGGTTTTGCGATTTCAAGTTTTCTTCCCTATTCAGCAGATGATTACTGACGAATAGAACATAGCGATAAAAGCAATAGTAGTCAATGATGAGCTTATGAGATAGCATAAATGATCATGGTTTTCGTTGGATGGTGTTCTCGAGTAAAAGCTAGTGGTAGTTCATTTCCAAAAAAAGAATGCCAAATCCTGTTTTAAAAGGCAATCTTTTCTGTAAGTTCCACACTCTTTTCCGTCACTTATTTTCTTGCTGCTTACGGTAGGTGAAGAACCCACATTTGATCCGATGGGAATGGCACGATTTCTTGGCTATTCATTAATCGACTACCTCAAGCATTGGCTTAGCTTCG